TAGTCCATAGTTTCCTGCTTCTTTCCAACAGAGTGTGACTCATCAATCAACATCGGAAAGAACAAGGGCGTTTGACCCCGACCGGGAATTGGACTCGGGGTCAAGTTCGACGTTGTACCGTCAGAGCACCCCTTTCTTAAGCAATGTGTGATAAATTCCTTGCTTAAGGAAATTCGATCATAAGACAAACGAGCAAACTAGTCTCACCGCAGTTCGTCACACAGCTCTATGACACTGTGCCAACGGGCCGAAAGGATTGTAGGTAAGCATCTGGACGAATATCGACTTGAACGCAGAGAAGAGATTCTTCACACTCAGCTTTGCTTCAGTCACAATGGTTAGGGATAGTTTACCTACAGTTGGGGATAGTTCACACACAACGCCGCTGAAAATTCGAATTCCACCGTAGATCTCAGCCCCCTAACCCATTGTCCATCAATAGGAAATACGACCCTGCGGTACGTGAATCTAACCCTACAATAAATGTGAATAAATAACTCTTCAAAAAATTCATGAATCGTGATTGCATAAGAAAATGAGATCCGGAGACTGGTGATTTCTAGACGATGAAAGTGGTCTTTGATAAGATGTGTAATAATCGGCTAAATGATTAATGGTAAAGGTCCTTTGAAGAAATCTGTCAAGATAAACAACAGCGTAACCGGTCTAAAATGAAAAAGTCGAAGCTAGTTTCTTTACAAATCATTTAAAATCGCTAAAAAACTGTTCCCTAAAACACACCGAAACTTTTCCATCATGCACAACTTCCGGTTAACAAATGACAACCCTGAGATTAAACACAATTCTGGATGAATGATGCCAAGATATGGAGAGAAGGCAATTTGGATGACTAAGATCAGAGAAAATGTTCAAAAGTATACATTTTCTTTTCATGCCTGTGAACATATGCGGTGACGAATAGTAAACAGGTCACAAAGCAAATCCAGGCCGAAATGCCAACGTCTGATATCCCTGCAAAATACGAATATAAATGGTTCGATTGCAAATGCAATTTAATGCTTATAGTTTATGGATCCCAGAAAAATGACACCTGCGTTTTATCAACGCAGGAACTGGTATCTTGCAGTCTGATGAGCTTCATGGAATTCCGAACACAAAACGGGTGTTGAGCGGAATCTCAAAAAAGTTTTGGGATCAGTTTCTTAAAAACGAACTATCCTTAGAAACCGGCCAAAACGTACCGCTACAGAGCCAAACCACCATTAAGTTGACAGAGAAAACTTTTAACCACTTACTGCAAAAAATGTTGAATAATGCTTTTAAAATAAATAATCTATGATTTGTTTAACGTTGTATCGAATGACTGGAAACAAGCAGTTAGCTAGTGATATCGAGAATTAATGAGCAGTATTATTTAATTTTTTTTATTGCTGCATCCAGTTTCGAAACGAAGCATCTTTGTTGGCTGCAAGCAGCTGAAATCATGCCAAAAAGTCATAATGCAAATAATAAATTTTCGATTAGTCTGTAAAGAACTGCTGTCGATTATCACTTTTCAAGGTTATTTGGTTGATAAGTAACCACTGGAAAAAAGTGTCTAAAACCCTTCCATAACCATTTAGAAAAAGTTCACGATACTCGAAAACAGAATTTTCAGCCGTTACATTCATTCACCAGTTCCAAACATCTGCTGGCTACCAAATGCGCAGAACAAACAAAATTTTCGATATTTAAATCATCACACTGTTCATCTAGTAAATTCTATGTGCAGTGATTATTCCGGAAGAGACTATCGTTTGAAGGCAAAATCCAGAAGTCTCCCGGGTGCAAACCCTGATTGAGAAAATGGTCCTTTATCCTTCACGGTGGATAAATCAGTGCCACTCCCTGCGAAGGAAACAGAAGACCACACAGAGATTACACGTTCTGCTTGCCATTAAAAAATGACGTATTACTGGCGAAAACATAAAAACGGAGATCAGTGCCCAGGCGATAAACTCCATAAGATGAAGGTCGTCACAAATGGCCCAAAGTCATGAGAGTGTAACGGAGACCGATCGATAAACCATTGTCAGATGGTTGTGTGGAGTAAATATTCGCAGATTCGTAACGGACGTGAAAGATTTTCAAGTTCTATGCTAAATACATGACTAAACCGCAATAAAAACTAGTCCAGTGATGATTCACAATGGCGTAACATAAATGTAGTTTAAGAATGTTCATTTTACCTGCAACTTTTTTTGAAAAAACATGAAACTTCGATTGAAAGCTACGAAAGACAAATGCAACTGTTTTCAACAACTTATCGAACTAGCGCACTTTTCATGTTCAGAAAATTCACAAAATCAGGTATGCAAATTTCATTAATTGTGAATAGTACAAGTTAAAGATATCACCGTATTAACTATAATACAAAACTGTTAAAAACAAACACAATACCGCTTAACCGCAGACATTGAGGGTATGTGAGGCAATCAAAAGCATTTAATACGCCGCTGAAATGGCATTATTTCTGCCATCCGTGAAGATTCAGAATTGCAGATTTCGAAACGTAGGAGGTGAAGCCTCAGGGCAGTCACAAAAAATACATAAAAAAAAACTCCTGCATCATAGGTTTAATAACAAATTGCCAGTTTTCGATTCAGTTAGTTTAAAAACAATCTGCTGTCAATTCTCCCGATTTACACTGTATTGTCGCATCGCAGGGATTTGCTTGACCCTGCAGTGTGATAGGGTAGAAGCGACAAAACAAAACTAAAACAGTTCTCCTAATCGAACATGAAGAATGGGTTGAACCACAATTA